ATGTTTCACTACAGAGCAATTCTTTATAGATAAGTTATAAATATCCAGGAAAATAGCACATTAAAAAGAAAATACTAAAATCCTTAGCTTTCCTGGCCTTGGCATGCGTTGCTTTTGATCTGCATGAGCAACTATTATTTTTTCGACACGAGGAGTGCACACTGACCAAGGGCAATGTATGTCCATGAATTTTTACTGACTGCAAATGCAGCTCAGCACAGGCTAAACCACGCTGGCATAATGTAAGACCTTATATGCATTTTCTGTGCTGTTCTGTACAACACGTGAGGAATGCTAATCAGCATTTGAAAGGGAACGTGGGCTTTCAAAGAAGACCCACCGAAATGCAAAATGGGAATATATATTCCCCTACCAAAAAGTCTAGCAGAACTTATGAGTCATCTGGAAGCAAATAATTCCCACTTCTTTCCCCCCTACCCCTGCCATTTCTAATTAAAAACACCATCATCCTCAAGGGATCAGGATCTTTCAGATTTAGATTTTTTTTCCTTTTAGTAAAGGAATTAAGAACATAAACAACAAACAAATCTAAAGGCAAAATAAAACGGTAYAACAGCTGCTGTTTCCCTGCACTGAAAGGCACACCACAACTGCTGCCTGTCCCAAAATACTCGAATCACACAGATCTTCTCGGCAGTGCTCATGTCCCGGTAGCACCGCGACCCATTTGAGCTCTTGTCTGGAAATGGAAATGGGCACTGAAGCACTGCAGGGCTCTGAGTGACAGAGAGGGACCAGGGGAGCACACAGAGGAGGGGAAGGACCGCAGCACCGCCAGCCACCCCGCTGTGCCCAGACATGAGGCAGCTCTGAGATGGGTGAACATACAGATGGACAAAGGGGCTGCCCAGAGTGGTGGGAACAGCAGGAGGAATAAACGGGACAAGAGAGCCTCAGATATTCTCAAGAAAGATCAGTTCGAAAGCRTCCAGTCTGATGCAACGGGAGAAAGCGTAAGTTTATTTATTTATACTGTATTTTCATCCTAATTGGCACATCCTGCATCCATCTCACTCTGCCAGTCCACTTAAGGAAACACTGAGCCCAAGGTAAGCTAACAAGGTAACAAATCACCAGGCAGCCTRTTTATTCCGAAATATCAGCTGCTTTAACTCCAACAAGCAAAGGAGCAAGCAGGACACCCATCCTTCATAAAAAGCAAACATAACAAAGGGAGACAAGCAAGTAGGATAATAAGTTTGGATTTTAGATCTCATTTAAGCTTGTGCAGGCTCTGCCCCCGACGCTGCTCCCCAGCCTTACGAATGCATCCATGCAAAAACCCTGTCCCTGTGGCGCTGCCCCCTCAGACAGGCACACAGAGGGACCAAAAGGGAACCTGCCTCTCAGGCTCAAGACCTAAACAGCTCAGCTGCTTAATCCTTAATAAAAATATAAACTGTTCTTCAGCGCCTCTTCAAAAAAAACCACACAAGCTTCCTGCATGCTGTGAACAAGATCGCTTTATTGAGAGCTTTACTTTTAATTTTGAACAGCTTCGCAGCATTATCCTTAGCAGAAAAAAAAAAATCCTAACAAGCCTGGAGATTTTTGAGCTACTCAGTCAACAGCCTGATAGAGCTCCTCATTGAAATTAGCTTCTCCTAGCAGCATCACATGAGAATTGCCATTCTGCATCTCTTCCACAAGCACTTTCACAAWTTTTTAAAAGACGGACAAAGTGATGATTTCCCTTCATCAGAATCTGAAAGCCAAAAAGCCACCACTGTGGGTGGAGACCCCCAGTATCAGCATTTCCAGTACTCACTGTRCTAAGAGCACTGGCTCCAAGTTTCAGCAGCTCAGTGTTCAAAAAAAAATTATACTAACCATGCCGAATAGTTAGCTGAAGTCATAATTCAAAATTCTTCAAATGTTGCAGCACTGAGGTATTTTACTAGGAGAAAGAAATTTTTACTTGCTTCAAAGCCTGAAATTTAGGGTTTTTTTTTTTCTTTTTTAGAGCAAGCTATAAAGACCAATAACTTTTCCAAAAGAAGCAGAAAAAATACTTTTTCAAATGATTTTTGATCCTACTTTGAATGGCAATCTTATTTTCATCTAAACACTTTCCTACAGCACTGGAAACTGAAAAGAGTTTCTAAACAAAGAGTGGAAAGTAAACTGCCTCATTTCATAATCTCCAGGAGTAAAATGACAAAAGCAAACAAAAACCCACCTGTGCCTTTCAACTGCACCTTTTATGTCGTTGCAAAGCATTCCATCAGTTTTGTGCTGAATATACCGTAAGTGATTTCTCATTGCTTTCTGCCTGTCTCCAAATGCTCACTTTCCACAGGGGCTGGCACCAAGCAAGCAAACAAACACACAGACACCCAGATTCCTGAGTCTCACATCAAAAGCTGCTTCGAAAATTTCAGAATGTTTCCTTCACACTATATGGCTGTGTATTTGGAAGGTGAAGTTGTTAAGAGGAAGAATTCCCTGGTCTCTTGCATACTTATCCTTTCCACTGAATTTAACTCAGASATGCACATCTTGCAAACATTTCTAGCAAATTCTCCAGTGCTACAACCAAAATACAACCCAAAAGCACTGTTCATATGTAAAGAACTAAAAAAAACCCTCCCCATATTGACAACATTTTTTTTCCTATCAAGTGTTGGGAAGCACAAGCATAGAGAGCAAAACCAATAAAGTAATTTACAAGTTTTCAGTGTTGGTGGTTTCATTTTTACTAGTAAAACAGGGAAGAAGAGCTATTACAGGAGGAGCTTGGCTGTAATMTGAATTTAGACCTGCCTTAAAGAAACCAAGGCAGATTTACATTAGTGTAAGAAAGGTGCAAGATCAAAACCAAGCCTGTGGCAGTGCTCCATCATGACATGATTTCTTTATAATGAAATATAGTGAAAGAAAATTAGTGGCACAAGGATTTTAATGCACCCCAGACACACATTTACAATGATTAAACAGATCAGTACTTGTAAAACCCAAGGCTCTAACTTTACAAACCTTTACTCAAGCAAGCARTTTCACCAAAATCAATGGGATTATTTGCATATGTAAGGCTATTTATCTCAGCTGGGATCTGTAGGTTTAGGCCACACATTTCTATGTAGATCTTCTATGCAGCAGAAACCACAAAGTTGTATGAAGAACGGGAGAACACTGCACCTTGAAGTTAATTTTCATTTATTCCTGTATAATTTTCTCCGTCCCTGTGACGCATTTGATAAACTGGGCATGTTTCAAAATTGGAAATGTTGGCAAAAATACAAATTTCCCGATGGGAAGAATACTACTCATGGATAATAAACAAAATCAATTCTTATTTGCATATTCAATCAGATTTTGGTTTGCATATAAAAGCATAAKATGGTAGAATTTTCACACGGTAGATGGATCCTACTCACTTATTCATGCATATATGCATYCACTAATCCTTACACATGCCAAAATCAGTCAGAAATACTCTCTTTGCTAGGCATTCATAGCACAAAAACACTGTCCCTGCTGCTGTTCTCAACCTTCTCTTTTCGTATAGCGTATGACAGCACTCTCCCACGGCTCTCTCCCAAGACTCCCTAATAGCCCCTGCTCTCTATTAGTCTTCTTTTCACTAGGCAAAGTGGTAGTTTGAATTTTTGAATCATAATTTAAAAGGGATGCTGTCAACTGTATGTGAAGAACAAAAAACACTGGACCAGATTTTCAAAAGCGCTTCAGCATGGACTTGACAATTTCCCTTGTAACTGTCACTGCAAAATTGAATGTATCTCTCACTGGTGCTATTGACGTGTCCTGGACTGCKGCTAAAATTTGCAGATTTAGACTGTGCCTACCTATTTTTTCACACACATCTACTAGGAAACAGAATTCAAAGTATTTATGTGGTCTGGTACTATCAAAATATGCAATATTAATATTGTCTCATCCACCATAAGCCCAGTGATAAATGATACCCTGCGAGCTACGCTCCGAGGTGCTGAATGCCGGCAACATCTGTGGGACCTGAAGGCAATCAGCACTCTGAGCCATCAGATAACAGGTTTGACGGTCTTGTAGCCAGTCTGACAGTCTGGATATCTAATTTGCATTTAGAAGAGTGTCATATTCAAATGTATATAATTTTGTGCATTAAATTAAAAATTCAGCTGGAACCCCGTGCGTTAAACCCTAACTGGCTGCAAACTAAGAAATGTTTTCATGTAATTAAAGAAAAAGATCAAACAAATTAGCATCAAAACGAAATGGCARTCTGCTGCAGCAGCCTTTGCCCTTACTAGGTCAAGCATGGGGTACCAAAAAAGCAGAGCTGCCCAGGGTATCTGAAATAATCTCGTATACACAGAAATAGCATTTCACTCTCCCAGATGAATGAAGCGCAAAAATCAGCCAGCATGAAGATGAAAGCTCATATAGGATTTCTACAGCAATGCCAGGTCTGATCAATTGAAACATTGTCAGCAGCAGGTTAAGGAGGTATTTATTTAACAAGGGGACAGAATCTAATTGACTTTCCAGGAGAGGAGCGCGAGCAGGCAGGCAAGCAGGCGCCCACTCGTTCCGCTCATTGAATCTTATACAGCCCTTTTTCAAAGGGGGCAGGASCACAACCCTGAGCTCCCTGAGCACGTGTTTTGTCCTCTGAGGACACCAAGGACATCCTGTGTCCCTGAGAAGGGTGTCCCCTGCAAAGGGCAGAGCTGCTGGTAGTCCAGGAGGGCACAGGGCAGCCGTGCTGCTGTGCTTCTGCAGAATGCCTCCCAGCGTCCTGCCAGCGTGCTGCAGCACAGCCTGCTCCCAGACACAGCACCAAACCCTCCTCTCTCTCTCGCCCTGCCTCTGAAGCATTTAAACTATCCATATAAATCACCAGAAAATAAGGGTTTGACCCACTTACTCATCTTAGGGCTCCTCGCTTTCATTTGCTAATGCTAAATGTAATGGAAATCACAGCTTTCCTAAAAGCCAGGCAGCAGAGGGAGGAAAGGAATTGCTGTTGATGCTCCTACCTGCTTGGTTAGTTGTCACAGTGACTGACACGGCTTGGTCCTGGCTGGGGTTTTGCTTGGACACTCCATTCACTGCCCAGACTTCAAAGGTGTAGTTGGTGTGTGCCAGGAGGTCGGTGATGGAGACCTTGGTGGTTTTCAGGCCGTTCTGCTGGGGGCTGAAGTGCACCCCACTGCCACAGGAGCGGCAGCGGCTGGGCTCGCCCGCCCCGCACCTCTTGCACACCACGTTGTAGGAGATGTCCTCACGGCCCCCTTTGTTCTGGGGAGGGCTCCACTCCAAGTTCACTGATGTCTCRTTGACATTGGAAATCAGGTTCTGGGGAGCAGATGGAGGGCCTAAAAAGAAAAAGTCCACGTGTTTTTAGTTAAAAAAAAAAAACAACGTACATAGTAACATCAGAGTTAATGGTCCCAGACCCCGTGCAACTCCTTTAAGTCAAGGACAACAGAGACCAAACAGAATTTTACTTCTCTATGCTCTTAATGAAGGCAAAAATATTAATTYGTAAGTCAAACTGTGATCTCTTCATCTGATGAACTAACAGTATTTTCCAGCTCTAAATAAGCCTGAAAGCTCAGTATTGCAATTAAACAGGAGTGGGACTTTTTCCCTTTYACTATTTATACTTGTTATGAAAAATGGTAAATTTACATATTTTACTCTTTTTTTCCCAAGATCTCCTGAGCAAAGCATCAAATGCACAAACTCCTGCTTCACTTGAGATTTTCAAGGTCCCTCAATACCCACAGGCAATCTCATTGAAATTATTATAGAACTATCATGGTATCTTTTTCTGAAAAATGTAAGTGCAATATTTTCCAGACAAGTTGATGTCAAACCACATTCAGTAAACACTGAAACCCATCAAGCAGGGACCTGCACATGACACTTTGGGATGCAGGATGGAGATCTGAGTAGAAAKCCAGACACAGAACTAAGGCTTTGAAGAATAGGGAATAAAGTTCACAACATGGGTGTGCTGGAAAAAGTGAAAGAATTGGAGAGGAAAATATGGCAAGCATCTGAAGGACGGGCTGATAAAAGAAACCTGGTCAGAATCAAGAGACCAGATGGAAAGCTTGGCAATAAGGCTGAATCCGAGACACAAGGTCAGCTTTTCCAGCACAGGGACAGGAGACTTCAAGACTCATAAACGCACTGCCAGAGAGCTCCTAGCTGGTTCCAATCCAGGGACTATGGGATTAGGGCACAGAGCTGAAGGCAGCCTGGGCAGGATGTCCCCAGGCASAGAGGGCAGAGCCAGAGGCAGCAGCTCCTCCTGCACCTCCAGAAGTGCGGGCAAGCTGCCACCAGCACTGTCCTGCCTCGCGCCAACCAATGCATGGCCACAAATCCTATTTGGGTGCTTCAATCCCCACGGGCCCCAAACCCACAGGCAAATTGAAAATGCAGAAGAGCTAATCCTGCAACTCCTAATCTAATTTCAATACAGCTGAGACACACTTTTCGTACCCTCAAATTTAAGATGGATGATTCAGAGAGAACCCATGAAAGAGATGGGTATTTTATACATCCCAAAAAGCTTTCCTGACCGTCACAAGGCAGCCTGCTCTGGGGCAGAGCACACAGTTACTCTGACTACACACACAGGGCTGCAGGTAAGCACTGCATCAAACAGAAATGAAACAGAATGAGAATGAAGCTTGAAAAATACAACAATCCAAACTGGAACACAGCAAAAATACCTGTGCTTAGTAATTACAGATACTCAGAGCAGAAAAATACTTTCCTTTGTAAATACAAAGGAAATAACTTCGTAGAGAGTCACAAATTCAAGACACAAGAAAGCTCATGAAAGCTTCGATTTTATCAAAATGCATTTGATGGTTGCAATTCAAATAAAGCTCAATTTGGCAGAAAAAAGAAAGKAAGGAGAAAGTTCTGGTGAATTTGCAAAATGTTAGGGAACTATGAAACTGGCAAAAAATAATCAGCCAGCACCAATAGTTTCATTAAGTGTATAAATAAATAAGTCATAATCTCTCATATGCCAAAGATACAAAAACAGTCATTGTGACAAGAACCAAACACATTGAAAATGTGAAATTCTACTGAAATTACAAAGTGACTCATCAAGTGTAACAGCAAAGAGGTTAAGYKGTTAAGGCATGACTGTGGGGAAGAYTCATTGTGGCTCCCCCAATTCATCAGGATCATCTCAAAAGAAGCCTGAGGCCCTCGCAAGCTGCATAGGACAAGGTTTTGAGGGCTGCATCATCTCCCCGGGTCTGTGCTTGAAGCCACCAGGACATAACACAYGCCCAACAGGAGATAGGACTTTCATTTTAGGTGAGGTAGGTAAGTTAAGAAAAGAGTCTTAAATCGCATAGAGTTCAAATGTATCTTCAGTATCTAAATGAAAGGTCTCTGTTGCAGCAGTAGCTAAGCAAGGATTGTTTCTCTGTGCTCACTTCAAAAATACAAAATTAATATATTAATTYTGAAAGGCGGGAAATCTTCCCTTCTTGCCAAACCTTTGAAACAGTCTCTGAGTTAATCAGAGTTGACAGGTAGAATTAGTGCAAGAAGAGAGAGCTGAGTCCAGCCCCGGAGCCGGGGAGCCCTCCTGCCTGCTGCACCACCATGCTGCCATTCATGGCTTTTATTWACATACTGGCAGCATTTAGGACTCCTAAGGACAAAACCCTTTTACTCAAAGATCAGTTACTGAACACAGTAAGAGATGTTTCCTGATCCAAAAACTAGATGAGAAAGAAAAAGGAAAGAAAACTGGTTTTAATTTCTATTCGTCACATGGAAATGGAGGCAGAGATAGATGTGGCAACACAAGGGCACACAAGATGTGCTTTGCAGATGGCTGCTGGGCAGCAGTTAAAACTATCCCAAGTACCAGCTCAATGCCTCTGTCCTATAACAGAGCTCTCCTTTCCCCAAGAGTTGGCTTTGCCAGCTCCCCTGGGTACAAGAAAGCGGTCTCTGCTTAGCCTGAAAACACACAAGCCTTCTTTTCAAAAATACACTCAGAGTGCAATGAGGTGGAAGACATTCCTGAAATCGGGAACTCAAGCGGCAGGGCAGGAGCACTGAGCAGGAACTGAACCAAACTCCCTCTACCCCAGACCTTCCCAAACAAGGTGACAACTTCTGCCCCTCAGCACTGTCAGGGGAACAGGAGAACCACCAAAAGCCTCCTCTGGGGGAACAGCAGCCTCAGCAGGCTGCCTGCCCAGATGCACAGGGTACTGGGAAGGTCTGCCCTGGCCGGAGCAGCAGCCAGAGCCAGGGGGGCAGCTGGGGCTGTGTGCCCTCCCAGAGACTGTTCAGGATCTGGCAGCAGCAAGCCCTGAGCAGAAACTGCTCCCGTGGGAAACATCAAGAGCCTTATAGCAAGAAAAAGCAAAAGGCATTTTCTTACAGAGCATTCACTCGCTGCAGTCACACACAGCAGAGCATCGACTCGGAGCACAGCCAGGAGAGCTGAGATAAGGTGGTGCCACTGCAAACACCTCCTGCCCCAAGCAGCACCCAGCTCTACCAGGGCTGAGAATATCCCCATTTCAGGGGGTATTCCTGGAGCAAAGACCTCCATGGGAGGAGGGCTCCTACTGCCACAGCTGCAGGCTGAAAGATGTGCCTGTTAGCTCAGATACAGCAGCCAGTTTGGGGTTAAACTCAGACTTAGCCTGGTGTCCATTAAGATATTTTCCAAGGCTCTAGGTCCAGTTTCACATGGGAAAATGTGCCAGAATGAATCAAGCTCCTCAGAAGCAAAAAGTCAGTAATTAGTATGTGGGACAGGGCACTGCAGTGTCTAAACAGAGATGCGACGGAGCGGAAAACCAGGGAAGCAGATGCTTGCAGGTCACAGAGATGAGTGCACCACCTCCAGCATGAAAAGGAAGATGCGGGGGAGYCTCCAAATGGTGGGCTGACATTACAGCGAGGGGAAAAGCAATTTCTTTTCTTCCTGGAGCATAGTCATCAATGGAGCTGTTGGCACAGGGAGTGGGGAACAGCTTCAGATTGATGGGCCTGATTTCAGATGTTGAAACACAGGGCGTATCTGCTCCTTCAATGGTGATCAGGATTTGCTTTGTTTCTGACAACAGAGCTGCTGCCGATGGATGAGACAAACCCTTTCAGGGCTGTGGCAGGCTGCAAGGACCAGGATAGTTCCTGGATGAACCCAGCTAGCAGGATTCTGCAAGAACAGCCAGACCATCGCATTCACACAAGCCCTGTGTCCTCTGGCAGAAAAATTTAGCTACAGGGCACACGAGAGGGGAGACAGGGACCTGTGCYTCTGAATCACCACCACCATCTGCAATTTTGTCACAAGTCCCATGATCTACAGTATTTTTCATAAATCTCCTGCCAATGGAAGCATGCTATTACATGGATTATTTGGCAGTCTGGAAGGATAGAGCTAATAATGCTGTACTGCCCAGAACAGCTTAAAAATGTGACAGTTCCTACATGAAATAGAATATTAAATCTAAGCATTTTAATTCTGAAAAAACTACTGATTTTAAAATTCATTATATGATGTTACAGAGGCAGGTGCTGGTGTTTTCTCTGCACCAGACAACAGATTCTCAGGRATGGATCTGCAGAGCCACTCCGTCCTCTCAAGTCAGGGACTGCAAAGGGGACACAGTTTGATCATGGGGCCTGAAAGCCGGATGTCTCCCAGCCCCTTTAACCAGCACCCTGAACGGACACGGGGAACTCCTCTGTGGGAACACAGGGAACGGAAGTTTTTCATTTGATTCCTTCCTGGGGCTCCATAAATCTCACTTCACAATAAACCCATCAAAATCAAGTGAGCCATGAAGCAAATGGAAAGGCCCTGGGTGGAGCAATTCATTGTGTGTGTCAGGGCTGAGGGAAACACTGAAGAGTCTATTTAGCAACAAATAATCTTCATCAARCTAATCTCACTATCTTCCTCAACCYTCCTGTTAGATTTCCTTCARTGTGTTGGGCAATGCAGATTGTTTGGCTTTCTCTTGCTGCAATAACCTATAGCCATTACAGCTATCTGTCTTTCACCCACATAGAGATCTGTCTGTCTCAAGGACAATGTTTTACCCTTGACAAACAAACATTCAGGCAAACAAGAGCTTTCAAGGGGTTAACAGCATAAGCATTACTYGTACTAAAAGGACTGATGGATTTTAGCACTCTTTCTACAACTTCAGGCAGCGTTTTAACTTTTCATCCATCAACATTTCTCTCCCTCCCTTCCTGCACTCAAGTCTCTCCAGTCAGAAGCCAGCCACACGCCCCTGTAGGACTGACAAGGACCTGGTGAAACCACAAGGACACATATCAACATCTGACTGTCTCCCTC